ATCAATACAGATCAGTTGCAAAAAAAAAAAAAAAAATCACAGCATAGCATATAAATCTACTCTAAAACAACCACAAACAAACAAGTTGTGAAATGTTTCAAAGGTATACTGGGACATCAAGCCATCCAGATGGCTATCAGACACCTCCAGAAAAAGATTATTAAATCAAAAAAAGCTACCAAGAATCATGCAGTTCCCTAAAAACAACCAATATATTATGGCACGGTTCTTCCACAATGAAAAGCCACTTCAGTTGATGCAACTGTTAATTCTCACTTGGCAGGGTGCACGTATCTCCAGTTTGGGCAACATGTTGGTTTGCAAAGTAGCGTAATGGTCAAGATGCTGGACTGGAAACTGAGGACTGTGAGTTCTAGTTCTCCCTTAGACATAAAAACCAACTCAGTGACTGAGTCAGATACTCTCTCTCAGCCCAACCAACCTCACAGGGTTGATGTGGGGAAAACAGGAGGAGAGAGCATTACATATGCAACTTTGAGTTGTACCAATAAAGGCGGAATATAAATCAAGTCAAAACAAATCCAATCCAATCATTCAATCAATAATCCTACCTTGCATAGAACAGTATAAGCATGCTGGACTTTGGTCACATTGGTGACATACTAGCCAAAATGTGCCCAAAGTGACCAATATTGTATTACCATCCACAGGGGATGCTAGAGGTAGCATAGGTAAAACATATATCTTTATCTCACTAAAAAGTGAACGTTCTGATTAATTTAAGCAATAATGAGCAGTGGCAGTCAATATGTATGGGCCCATCTGGTGACAACCACAGCATATGAAAAATTGCAATTTGGATTTAAGAGGAATACTAAATGATAAAGAGGATGAAAGAAACAAATGTATTAAGTGAAATAAAAAAAAGATTTGTCTATGAAACTAAAAGGAAGTAGAAGGAAGTTACAGATCTAAATGAAGGTGGTCTGTCCTTATGAAGTGGTCTATCCTTATGAAGTAGTCTGATACACACAAGACGACGAAGGTATCAGTTTAATTAAGAATGAAGGAGCTAAAATGTGTATCAGAAAGTATGAATTGGTATCATAGTGGGGAAGTATAAAAAAACAGGATTCAGTAGGTTGATGATACTTGTGCATTAACCTCCAGTCAATGTGGTCACAGATATATTGAAGAATGAACCTGAAATGAATGCTATAATACATTGAAGATATAAGACATAAGCGCTGTGAGAATATTGAAAAATGTTACAGCTGCTGATGTGTTGATATAACTGGATGTTAAAATATGGATGTGATTTGCTCATGGTTTGTGTGCAAAAAGTGCATTTATACTTGACAATTAGAAGAATGTTCCCTATTACAAAGGGAAAAGAAGCAAGAATAAATACAAAATCTAATAGAAAATTAATTTAACAGTGTTTGGGAAGGTGTCTGGGAGAATTCTAATCAAAAAAGGGGGCAAATGAAACAGCTTACTCTCTTGAAATCTCTTCCTCTCCAATCTCTCTGCTCTACAGGGGTGGGGGAAGGGTCAGGCAAAGGAGAGATTGCCTACAGAAATCACTTGCTTTTTTTCTTTGTGCCACCCTCGCAGAGTGGAGAAACAGATTTCAAGAGAATACTATAAGCTGTTTACATAGCACACCCGTGGCTCCCAGCCCTGGGCTGCTGGCAGGATTGGATTGTTTTTGATGTGTAGAAGAGCAAACAGCTTACTTTCCTGCAATCGCTGTCCCTCCAATCTCTCTGCTCTTTATGGAGAAAAATCTAGTTTTTGACTGTAGCTACCACTATGATAGTATTAATCCATGTTAATTAATCTACTAATCAAATCTAATATTCATCCCAGTAATAAAAGTACTTTGTGAACCTGTTTTGAAGTGAAAATAAAACAAGACTGTTCTTAAATGTTCATGATCTCTGTCAGCATTAATTCAAACAGACCTTGTTTCTTCTGCTTGTGAGAATCTTATCTCTTCTTTCCCTTCCAAAGGTCTGATTCCTCAAAAAATGCCCTTCAAAGAATCATAACTTACATTCCTTTTATAAGGCAGGTAATATAAGGCACTTTACATAGTAAATATAAAATAAAATGTTAATTAAATCAAGTTCTTACTAGAATCCACAGAATGTAGCGAAGAACAGCCATACAGATATAAAAAACAGTAGACTGCACTAGCCCATCAATTTAGAGACAAACTATTTTTCTCCATCAGAAATAACAAATCCCATTATTTGGTTCATTGGTAGGCAAGTGAAAGCCATACAACTTCCAATTAACTAATCTATATCCATAACATCAAACTTGGCAAGCCACAGACTTCTTGTATTTTCACACTCATTTATTTTTTATGGGGCTATATTTGTTTCCTTGGGGCTACTAGCCTAAACATTTCATCACATGGTGGATTTCATTTGTTTACACTTCTAGTTACCATTAAACAGCAAACCCAAACCTTTTTCTAAAACTCTTAGAAATAATTCAAACACCACTGAGTGTGGAGCAGTTTAATTCATGTTTCATAACAGGATCCTCAAGCAATGTTAATTAACACCTATCAAGAGGAATCTTTCACTCTCAGCTTCTGCCAGTTGACTTTGTTGACCTTCACCAGCTTAACCTAATCCCACTCTATGGTGAGAATCAGGAAAAGAGACTTCAGCTGTTAGAAACTGGCAGGGGGTAATTTACATTGGCCTTCATTAAAAGACAGAAAGCATCACTGAGACCAAATGTAGAAGGCAGATAGGTGGGGCCTATAAAAAATTCAAATGGTACACAATTTTTTTCTTTTCATCTTGACAGTTGATATTAAAAAGCTATACATCAACCTGTAGCACAAAAATTTAAACTAACAAAAGGCATTAGACTGTGACTATGTGCACAGACTGTTTTCTGTCTGTTGAAGGGCTATTTCACACAGGTAAAACAAGTCAATTTAAGTGAAGATTTTAGGGATTTAGTGAAGAATGGGAATACCTCACCAGTTCAAATAGTAAGATGACTGTGGGGATGGTCTACCATTTGTTATTATTATCTGGCACTTTGAATATGCTGGGGAAAACAGGATGTCATTTTAAAAACTACACAGCATTATGAATGCAAGTAATCCTGTAACTCTGCTATGAATAAATTCTTATTTGAATTGATGAATATGCTTGGAAAACAACATAAATATGATTTGAAGAAATCCTTCTATTAGCCTTCTAGCCTCAGGGAATGATTTTTATTTAAACTCCAAGTGAACAGATGTCTAGCCTATCTTAACACATTTCCAGAAACATGGATATGTGAAAATGCATTGACAGTTTGGGAATACAAAAAGTTCTCTGTACTTTAAAAAGCTACTTATTTTTTGGGCAGACATTATTTTGAAAACAATTATCTGCACTCTGAGATTGCATGTCTCTTAAATACAGTTTATGTACATTACAACATTCTATAGCCTTTTCAATCTAGTGCACTGTCTAGTGATCCTATATATAGCAACCCTGTTTTCCCTTGCATCTCTCAGTTAGAAGTGTGCATCTTTAAAACTGAGGATTCTATCTAATCTCTTACAACAATATATTGACAGTGGGATCAAAAGTGCCTCTTAGCATATTCCTGGCCATCAGTTATTAGAAACAAATCCCACAGTTGTTATGTGAAGGAATATTTTTGTTTGTCCTGAACTTATTAACCAAATCAATTTTCAGTAGAGGACTTCAGCAGGATCCAAAAATGGCCTATTCAATTTCCCCCCATACTTTATATACATTCTTAATGTGCCAGTTTATTTCTTCCATGCTGAAAGTTCTATACTGTTATGTACAATTGATAAAGAAACTTGCTCAATTCTCATTCCAACCTCTAATATTTTTCAAACTTAAATGTTCTCCTTTAGATGGAATGACTGCTAAAGTGTTAGTTCCCTTATCAATGCCTGCAGCTGTGTCAAATGGGTCAATCTAACTAAAGCAGTATTGAGCTGTTGCAGAACAACCTCTGCTCCTTTTGTACATGCATTGTGACATCACATGCATATCCACAAGGGGTGGAGCTTGCAGCATTATGGTGCAATGATCCTTTCATCATTTTGATAAAAGCAGCAGGAACCTGCAGATACCCATTTATATTGTTATTGAATCCTTAAATTCTGGACTTGTGTTGTTCAGTGCCAGCTAGCTCCCATCACCAGAATATGCTAAATGTACTAAATTTTGAGTTTTGCCATCTGGCAGTAAGGAATAACTACAAAATCCTTATACATCCAAGCCACAGCAAACAAGAGATAGCAGAATCATTGGGAAAAGGGAGAAAAGTACACATCTTTGTATCACTTCTACAATTTACTTAGAAGACCAAACAACCAATGGGATCAATTACAAATCCTAATTACAGTATGAACTCTGAACTGGGTGAAGCATACACATAGCTGGATGAGAGGTTAGTCCTATCGCTCTCCAATGTAAAATATTACAGAAATTGGTGAATATTAATTAACACGTTTAGCCATATATTTTTTCTGTGGTTAGCAAATAGTTCAGGCTTGATCTCATTCTTCTCAAGGCAAATATACAGCGTGCCAGGTCCTCTAACTGAGAAAATATTAAATATTTTTAATCCAATTTTAAAAAATGACCATGTTAGGAATTTAACTATATTTAGAAACAGCCAACATAAAAAGCAGGAATCTTTAGAAAATCATTGCAATTTCCCATTTTAACTTTGTTGTTACTGATCGTTTCCAATACTTTTATATTTCATTATCTCTGAACATTTACAGCAGCCTTTCCCAACATGCTTTCCACAGTTCCACTTGATTAAACTCTCATTGTCCCCAGCCAACTCAATCATGGTAAATAGAAGGCTAAGAACAGCAGGTTAGAAAGGATGGTTGGCTAAGCTGGCTAGGGACATTGGAAAGCATAGCTTAACAAGGAGCAGATTGAGAAAGGTTGAGATACAAGTTAGAAGATTCAAACTTTCTGGCATAAAAATGCAAAGTCCATTCCATTCTTGAACTCACTCACTTCTTTCATCCACAGCAATTTAGGTGGCTGCATCTCAACTGACATCACACCACCAACGAAGCACAACACATTATGCTGCGTCTCATTGATGCGTGCTACTTGATTAGCTGCACGATGGTCCATCCACATGATGATGTTTCTTTTGTGTTCTCCTTATAAAACAAAACCAAATCAGCCATTGTTTGCGCTTAAATATTTAGTGCACATATTCTTCCATCATAGGATCCAATAGTCTTCCATCCAGATATTACCCATAGCAAAGACATGCTTTTTTTTCATTAGAAATAGGTTCCATACCTATAATTACAATACATTTAAACAGATCATAAAAATAGTTACACATGACTGCTGTAACTGGGCACAGCTACAATTAAGAAAATTTAATATTGACAGGAGATCCACCCCTTTTTCTGAATACACAAAAGAAGTGTATAGTTTCTGCCTTCCTTCTAACTGCATAAGCAACTATAAAAGCTATAGTTAAACAGAAAATAGGTGTATAACAGCACCTAGACCAAGGTAATATGTCCTGTATCAGTTGTCATTAGTTTGGTCTTCTTTATATTTAATCTCTGTCCCATTTTTTCACTGTGCTCCTTGACATTTATTACAGCTTGCAGATCATTTGTACTTTCAGCTAGTGTTATCAGCATAGCGCAGGTTATTGATGTTTCTTCTCCAGTTTTAAAACCATGCTCATCTTCCATTCCAACTTCCCCCAATATACTTGGCATATAGGTTGAATACATAAGGGGAGAATATACAGCCTTGTCTCGCTCCCTTGTTAATATGCAGCTGGTCTGTTTTGCCATGTTCTATTCGGACTGTGGCTTCCTGACCTATGTATAGGTTTTGCACAGGGACAATGAGATGTTCTGGAATTCCCATTTTCCTGAGCATATTCCATAACTTGACTTGACACAAATAAAGATCTTTCTTTAATCAATGAAGGACATATTGACTTATTTTTCGTATTCTTTGGCTTTTCCAATTATATAGTATGCATCAGCAATAATGTCCCTTGTTTCTTATTTTTTTAATAGTAATTTTACTAAAAATTAAACTACAATGATAAAGAACTAATATAAACTAAAAAAATGAATAAAAAACAGAAGGTGCAGAAAAGAAAAAGAAAACAGAAAAGAAATAGAAAAGAAAAAATAAGAATATAGTAAAGAAAAATAAAATATATAAAGAAATTATTTCCCCCTTCATCACAACAAGTATAAACAATTTTAGTAACTTGTCAACTTCTCTTAAAATACAGCAAATTATCTCTTCTTCCCATATCCCATCTCTTATCAATAAACAAATTCTTAAAATCTCTTCATTTCAGTCCTGATCAACAAAAGTCCATTAAGGGTTACCAGAAATAGCACAATATCTATTTTAACCTTGATCAAATAAACCACATTTATATTCTTTCCTTTTACTTTTAACAATCTTGATCTTTAGTCCCTTCAAATAATGC